TTCCTTTCTTGGGTTACTCCCTACTGCCTAACATAAATTGTCATAACTACTGGAGGACAAACAGCCTTTTATCAAAACAATCTACTTAGCTCAACATGAATGCAAAAAAAGAGAAGAAAAGAAAAAAAGGTGGTTGGGTGGGTAGGTGGCAGGCGGGTGGGGGATGTTTCCCACCTTTATTTAGAAACATTTCCATCATCGTTTCCCCCAGGTCTATTTGATAGACTCAATGGGATGGTGCTTAATAAAATAGTTAACAGGCTCGAGATCTGGCTGCAACAAATGGAAATGCTGCTATAAACATGCTCTCCACCCTGCCGGAAAACTCCCTTTAATTCTTACTTGCAAAAAGCCAGAGACTTTTAATTTTTAAAAAACACACTACCATATAGAATGTACTGGTTACAGGTCAAAGATCCCTTGTTTTCAGATCTGCTTGGATGCGACTGTGAGCTAACAACAAGGAAGAGTGCAGCACAACTGAGCCAAATTTAAAAATGGTTAAAAATGGTTAAGTCCATTAAGTCATGTGATTATTTAGTTCTGAACACATGCATTCACACTCATGCCATATGCATGGGCACAGACAGACACATGGCTTACCATGTGCATATTAATTCCTCTTTCACTGAAGAAGATGGCAGTGAAAAACCATCAGAGATGGGTTTGTATTGCTTGAAGCACCCCTCACTTAAACCATCTGGTTATTAAAAGAAAAAGCGCTTCCTCTCCACCCCACCCACCCCCAGCAAACAGCAGCTAAAAGCAAGGGGTGTGTGCCCTTCGCTCTCCTTACATCAATCAATGTTGTAATACTAATTTTAAAATAGGAAGGAGATTTCTCTTATTGTAACTTTGGATACCACAATATCAGGTGTGTGACCACAGTAAATCAGTTGTGATGGATATTGAAATGCCATTACATTGTCCAACCCTCCATCCTGCCTTTTTAACACAGAAAGTATTTTTCCTTCTTCTCCAAGCCATCATCTTTGTGTCAGAGACGCTCTCCTGTCTGACAACAGCAATTTAGAAGAGTTAACTTTTATCGTTCATTCTGCTGTGTAACTTTCCCCTTCAAATTTCTTTATCTGCCCTCTGAGCTCATCTGAACTTTCATGTTCTCCCAGCATGCAGGCTTGCATTCAAAACTATGTCTAATAGACCAAATAAGAGGTTAATAAGAAGTGGCAACAGAAAGAAAAAAATACAATCCCTGGTAACTGATAAGAATGACAGTGGCAGCCCTTTATTGTTTGTCTTCAAATATAGAGTTAAAGATCTTTAAAAAACTAAAATTTGACGCCTTTGAAAAGAAAGAAGCACAAAATAACAACAGGGGGTTATTGCCTGGCAGCCACAGGGGAGAAGCTCCATAATTCTTATTCTCCCTTTTGAAGGTTGTTAGAAATCTGATTCAAAAAAGCAACAGCAGAAGGAGAAAGCCTCTTGAGGCTATAGCCATTTCCTGTGATCATGCATAATGTGCTTCAAAAGTGGGTTTTTACCAATTCTGTTGATCAATTGCACCTCCTTCATATTCCCTCTTTTTTTCCCTTTTTTTTTTTTTGCTGTGTTTACATCTGATGCGACTCAATGACAAGCACTGTCTGAGACTGTGAAACAGACCTGTCATGTTGATTTATGGGCGCATCAAACCACGACTTGTCCAAACTGAAGCTCGCAGTTCATTAATTAGAGAGTTGTGACTTTGAAGTCAGCTTTCAGACTGTGGTTTTTAACATTTGGCTTAATTTATATGCTCTTGAATGTGGATCTCTAAGGGAAAAACTGAAATTCCCTTCTTGTCTTTGAACTTCTTTTGACCGCACAATAATCATTTCTTTGTCCAGAGTGATGCCTGCATCCCAGAGTCATTAACGCGCATTGAACTGCCACTGATGAGTAAGCCCTACTGAATTAGAAAAACAGCCAGCAAAACAAAGCTGAGAGCATTCTGCACAGTGATATCTCACAATTACATGCCTTCCCTCCCTGTGCCATTTCCATTTTAATTACTGTTAGTCCTTTAGATTTACATTTTAGACATTTTTTAATCTGTTCCCTTTTTTATTATAGTGGCGCCCGTTAACGGGCTATAGTTAAGGTTCATGTCAGCGTTTCCCATTATAACCCCCCCCCTTATTTTCATAACGTGACTGTAAAAATTCACACTTGACTTAAAACTTGGTTTTCCACAATAGGGGAGAGCGGGTTGATCATAGAATCATAGAATCATAGAGTTGGAAGAGACCACAAGGGCCATCGAGTCCAACCCCCTGCCAAGCAGGAAACACCATCAGAGCACTCCTGACATATGGTTGTCAAGCCTCTGCTGGAGGCCAAGTTGATGGAGTTGATGGAGGGTTGACGGAGGGTTGATGGAGGGTTGATGGGTTGATGGAGGCCAAGAAAGTGTGTGGACCAATCTGGTAATGCGTGCTTGCATAAATCACAACTACCATGCTGACACACAGCCAACTCAGGTGTGGGAGCATCGTGTAATACAGCACAACATTCTAGGCATCCCAACAGGCAATCATGCAGTGGGCAGGGGGTGGGACGCCTTAATACCAACAGAGTTTCCACAACCCACCTTGTATTTTCTAAATGGCAATTTATGGTCTTGAAGGAACACAATCCAAGGCTAAATTTATAAAATACAGCAGAATTTGCAAAGTTGCAAATTGTGAAAGGCATATGGCAGCATCAATTCAACTATCAGTAACAACTGATGTAGAAGGGAAGAGGACCCCACTGTATCCCACAAGTTTCACAATTTCATAAATGTACCAACAATTCAATTTTTCAGCCATCATTTCCAATCATACATTTTGCTCATGTAACGTTCACTATATTTTTTGGTCCATGCTATGCATGGTATAATCCTCAACAGTCTTTTTCAGTGTGTGTGTGTGATATGTTTATTTTAACCAGGGTACTTTAGAGGGTAAACCTATTCCTCCCAGACCCAAGTTTCACCTCCATTAGCAAGCTACCCCAAAGCTCGGCTTGCGAGCTTCCTAAATCTGTAACTTCAGGGAACCATTCCATGTCATCAGCTCCTTTGTCAAAGAACTTCTGCCTGGTTTGTCATGGGGCCTATGTGCAGATGATTATGGAGCAGGATCTAGAACTGGCTTATATTACTGTTTCTCACATCATCCAAACAGTCCATAAGAGGGCCTTTGTTGTTGCCAGAAACTGGTACTCAGAGGCATGTTGCATCCTAGATCACATACAGAACAATAATCTGTGGGTGCACAGCTAGAGTGTGGTGCTGATAAAGCCAAGGTTGCAGGTTCAATCCCCATAAGGGACAGCTGCATATTCCTGCATTGCAGGGGGTCGGACTAGATCAGGCTTCCTCAACCTTGACCCTCCAGATGTTTCTGGCCTACAACTCCCATGATCCCTAGCTAGCAGGACCAGTGGTTAGGGATGATGGGAATTGTCGTCTCAAAACATCTGGAGGGCCGAGGTTGAGGAAGCCTGGACTAGATGATCCTCAGGGTCCCTCCCCACTCTATGATTCTAGGTACAAGCTGTCATTCAGAAGCTTGACCTTCATTCCTCATCTTCTCAATGTGGAGCACCTGATGAACTTCAGAAGTGCCACAAAATACCCTGAAACATGGTCTGACAATCACAGTTTTATAGCCAAGCACAGCTGTTATGTTAAGGGGTAGAAGATAATGCATGCAACATCAGAGACTAGTTAGAAGTGCTTAAATCCTAGTGAGTGAATGGGGCTTCAGAGCTTTGTGCTTCCATCTCCCATTATTTAAAGGAGTCTTAAGGCTGCTTCACACCAGATGTTTTTTTTCCCCTACCCTGGAATTTGCTTTGGACATTCTGAACAAGGAAGGAAGGGGATAGAAAGAGTGGCAGTTCCTCTTCCTCTGCTTGTTTAAGAGAATCCTTCCAAGCAAGTCCACAAAATTTACCAGCCTGAAAACTAGATATAATAGCCTGAATGGAGCTGCCAGAAAAGACACAAAGAGCTCCAGCCCCTCCTGTAGCGTTGGGTTGCATTTCTATACACTCGCCTGCATGAAATCCCTTGTGACTTTGGGCTTGCAAGGCTGGTGTTTAAATACAGGGCTGGTTTACAATATCCAAAGCAGAGTCCTGACATCTGACCCTGTGGGGACAGATATGCCATCTTTGTATCTGGGCCCAGATTCAAGAGTTCTAGTCAGGTGTAGTGAGGGCAAGCCCATGAACTTGCGCACAACTTTTTCGAGCCAACTTAAAAAAATCCGCAAAGCTACCCAGAGATTGGTCCCCAGTTCAGGAAAAGAAAAATGTCATGTGTGACACATCCCCTCAGGATACCCCGTTCTATCTGGGTTGCAACCAATGGCCTCAATCCAAACAAAGTGTGCATGCAGTAATCAGGGCAGCACACACGTAGCGTAGTAAAAGAAGCTGGAATCCATCAATCAACTGTTTGGCAGCGAAGGGGAGACTGAATCCAGCCTCCAGCTCCTTCTTCTGAATAGCAAGATTTCAGCTTTGTTTACCAGTCTACATGTGCACCGTCTTAGCTGCTGGACTGGGGAATATAAGCACAGAACCATTTTATGCATATTAATTCTCCATTCATCTAGAGAGATGCTGGGTCAGGGCAAATGTGTACACAACCTCGAAGACTCCAGCAAATACAGCACTAGAGATTTTCATTGTGCTACGCTTTGGAAACACAAGTTGTTAGTGCAATCTTTCAAGTAGTAACTTCCAGAAACGTTTCCTTCTTCTGAAAAAAATTACAGCTATAATGTGCTGCTATAGCATACCGTAGGAAGAAAATGGGAGGACCAAATTAAAGAAGCAGCAGCAAAGAGAATACAGGTTCTTACAGTCTAACCCTAAAATCTGGGACCCAGTGCATTCAGCTCAACTTCACAACCATTAGCAAGATAAATGATGGTTCTAAAGTTGTTATACTTTCTTTCGGGTTCTGTGGTTTGCAAGGGGAAAATGGGCTTTAGTTGTACCTCTTTAGGCTGTTTTCCGGCATGTTGTTGCTGTAAAAGTTGTAGCTGCAACTGTTCCTGTTGTTTCTTATAAAATTCTTGAAGCTGCTGCTACAAAGGAAAAGGGAGAGAGAGAGAGAGAGAGAGAGAGAGAGAGAGAGAAGAGAGGGAGGGGGAGAGAAAGAGACTGTTAAGTAAAACAAAGTAGGAGAGCCAATTCAGGATCCCCTTTTGGTGTAACACACAAACTGCGATTTGAAAAATAGCATCCTTTTATCTGTAACAGTCTGACCTTTAGTTTGAAACTCGACAATAAATTCAGTGCACACTGACTATTCTTGGCATTATCGTTTGAAAAGTAATCTCCAAAATGAACTGATGAAAAACATACCATTTTCTACACAAACTAATTAAAATAAGGCAAGGAATGACCTTTGGTTGGAACAACAAAGCCAAAATGCCCTTGCTGGGAGAGCCTGGTGAATCTTTATTTAGAAGCAATACATGCTTTCTAAATCATCATTGCATTGTACTGTACTAAGCGTTGTTTGGTACAGGCACAGGCTCCCTGCTTCCACCCACCTTGCCCAATCTCCCAGATAGATAGCTTTTTTGAAAGTTCCATTCAATGAATGAGTGAGAGAGAGAGAGTGAATGACTAAGGCACAGTGCACAAGGTCAACTTGCAATGGACTTTGGCATTGCTGCACCATTAATGAATTAACCCTGCATAGCTCACTGAGATATGTAAACCTCAAAGTCATTTTTGCATTTCCACTAACCCACAGAGAGAGAACGATATTAATTCATGGCATACATCAAAAGTCTAACACGCGTTTCCATGACATGCAAGGGTTTGTACACACTTCACTGTTGCCTTCTTAAATGATGTGCCTAGACGTAATTGTTTTGTTTACCACCACATATGTGAAAGCCAATGCGTGAGCCACGGCTAGATGTAACCCACTAAAGGGAGATATGACCACAAGTGATATGACCACTAATATAGTAAAAGCGGACAGGCAGCAATTGCACTGAGGTTATAAAAAAATTATCCCAGGGTATAATCTATTAAATCTTAAAAGTTCCTGCATTGCAGGGGGTTGGACTAGATGACCCTCATGGTCCCTTCCAACTCCACAATTCTCTGATTCTATGAGTCGGTTAGGCTGACACACCAAATAAGCTTTGCAGCGGAGTGGAGTTTTGAACCCAGGTCTCCCATAACTGCATTCTATTCTCTTAACTGGCTCCCTAAATGCTCCACCTGCTAGTTGTTTTTCCAGTGTGTTTCCTTATATGCTCTGTAAGCTGGGGGGGGGGGAAGTACTTTGACCTCTTGTTTATTCTATCTAGTTATGGTGCAGGTTCTTTTTGGTAGATGCAGTGAGCTGAACGGCTGCAAAGGAAACAAACTGTTTACCTGCTGAAGCATGAGTGCCTGCTGCTGCTGGAGCAGGACCTGAAGTTGCTGCGGAGTTAGCACTTGCTGCTGGAGGATCTGCTGCATTTGCTGAGGAGTGATAACTTGAGGTGTCATCATAGCCACTGACACAGGAACCTAAGAATTAGGAAAGTGTAAACAAACAAGCAACTCAATATGTTGTTCATCATGGTTGTGGTTGTTGTTTTTCAAGATAATAAGCACTTCTCTTTCCACTTCAAACATTCAAGATCATTCCTCTGGTTCACTTAAGTGACCCATCTTTTACTTCCCAACACCTTGGTTATAATTTAATCCTGACTTGTTTAGTTCACAGAAATAATAATAAAAAAGCATTAACTAATTACACCTTCTAGGTATGTTTCTCTGCCCCCCCACCCAATGCGTTATTTTGCAATGGAATAATTTCCGAGAAACCTGAACTATTCATTTGTGTACCTTCTAGAGGCAGCCATCAATTCTAACAAATTTTTGCATTAATTAATAAGTAAGACCCTTCAAAAGCAACCACTGGGGAGCCTGAACTTAATGATTTGAAGCAAATGAACGCCATCTCGGCAATATCAAAAACCGCACCTTGTTCCCAAGCAATTTTAGCAGTGGAGTTCCTACAGTGATGTCTCTACCATTCCATATTCACCCAGCATACAGATGGCTTCAATTCTTTCGTATTATGTGAGATACCATTAAAAGCCGCTTTCCATGACATTTCAGTGACAAACAGCTACAGTGATGAACTTGATAGCATTTCATATTTGCAACTGTTAACACGTTTCTGCACGGGCATCTTTGCAAGGAACCTGTACACTGTATCTGAAAGGATGATGTCTTGTTCAGATAAAACACTGACATTAAAATGACAGGCTGTCTTGGCCAAGGTTACACAAATTGTATTCAAGCGGATACCTAATGACAATGCTTTGAATTCTGCAAGCTTTCTAGAATGTAATTTAGCTATTCAAAATAATCACTGCACTTGTGTTTAATTTGCAGACTACATGAGAACCATTTTGTCAGTTCCGGTAATGCAACAAGACTATTTCGCTAGAAATCTCACCAGAAAAAAAAGAGAGCGAGCAAGCAAGAGAGAGAAAGATGGGGGGAAGATACAGAACTCACATGACTTTGAATAGTAATATTTAAGCACCTTACTTTTCTTTAGTTTCAGCTGAAACACATGACAGCAGAAAACTAAAAGCGGTAAAGGATATAGTTTGTTAAAAAGGATCTGCTGTCATCTCATGTATTACAATAAAAGGTAATAACATGTTTTGAACATTTTTATGCACCACGCTTTAAAAAATCAGTAGACAATAGCTGATCCGGAGATAAAAGGATTTAAAAAAAATATTTCAGGGGAGTAGTAAGCAAGAAAGAGACGCAGTATTAATTTTATGTAACATAATGTCTTAATATGCAGTTTATCTTGACTTTTTCACATGATTTGTCCTGTCATTTGCATAGCAAATTCTCATTCCTAATTTCACAGTCATTATGCACTGATGTCCTGATTTCTCAGCACCACTAATTTTGATGAACTAAAAATGGTTCCTGAAGGTCAGATTCATGTATAGTGAACACCCTCCGATGTTGTTGTGTAGGTTTACACAAGTGTCAGAGACGGTTCTTGTTTGCAAGAGCCAAAAGAAACTTACACACCTTTTGACACTTCTATTTACGTTCACACTGGAAATCCACACCACAGCAGCATTACCATTCTGAATTTGCACTGTGCTGCGTGTCAGGGTAACCCAAAGCAATTGAGAACCCAGTTCAAGACACAGCAGCTCCCTCGTAGCACTGATATGCCTAAAGATCTGAACAAGCATAGCGTAATAAGAGTTACTTGAATTTATCTGTGTGGCAAGCCTTAGTGAATACTAGACCAACGGTTGGGTCCTTCCGCTCTACAGCCTTCTCAATTGTTATCTGCATTGTGCTTGCATTACCAAAGTAATATACGCCAGCTTGCAGATAAACCTACAAAATTTACTAACTTGCAGAAGTGTTTACTAGCCTGTGGAGGGCTGGGGGGGGGGGAGGAAGAGCTCTAACCCCCCTGCAACAGCTCACTGCATTCCATGATGCACATCAAAGAGCATTTCCCCCCACCTCTAGCAGCTGGTTTGGTTTCGATGCTGAGCACAGAGGAGCTCTATTCTGCCAGCCTGCTCACTCGCCTGCATGGAATCCCTTGTCGTCTACGGCGACCAGGCTAGTGCCTTAATACAAGAGTGTGCCTTCCCATGAATTCACGTGTGGCACTGCCTTACAGAAGTATAGCTGGAACTTATATTGGCGACAGCATAGTTCCCTGGGAAGTTAATTCCAGACTCCCACAGGCACAGCCCTCTCACGGAAGGGTAAACACCAGTAGCAAATCCTGAAAGGCAAACACTAGTTTACCCTTGGGATCCCTTCCAACTCTACCGTTCTATGAAAAATGAAGTATCAGCGTGGAAGAATCGTATGTAAATTTTGCCCCAAGGCAGTGAAACAATGCTGTACTGTGATAATACCTATAAGCCATGATCTGCCTTCATCAAATCGTAGAATTGTAGAGTTGTGGGTCCCTTCCAATATGTAGGAATCTTCCAATATTCCCTATAATGCAGGAATCTTTTGCCCAACATGGAGCTTGAACCCACAACCCTGAGATTTAGAGTATCAAGCTATACTGAGAGCTGGTGGAACATGGGGGCTAAAAAACTAAGCTGTGAACAATGAACGCCCCAATTTGTATTTCATGCCTGCCATGAACTGGAGTGCGGCTGGACACCATCAGGCACCTGTTGGGAGCTGCACATACAGCCCCTAGAGCCTCCTGGCCCTCCTTATCCACCACAGGGCAGGCCTTGCCATGCAGCAGAGTGAAGCAGTTCACATCAGGTGGCACCATGATCAGGTGGATAGATGAACATAGGAACTGGCCCAAGTTTGGGGGAGGGATGGGGAGAGGCAGGCTGCCATTTGGGTTTGGGTTCAGGCAGCTAGAAATTGGCACTCCTTCTCCTTTCTCGTCTCCATCTCCTTTTGGGCAGCGGTGCAGAAGGACAAGGGAAGAGAACAGGAAGGAGGTGCCTATATTGATAGTCACAAGGAGGCGGTCCCACTTTTGGAGGAAGGGTGTTGAGAGTATTTGGCCCAAGGGTACCTCGAAATCTGGAGACTGGACACTGTCCTTAACTCTAGCCTTCCTCTACTCTCTCCCGGGAAACCTTTTTCTTCAATAGCTGTTTTTAGCCAAAACCACATTTTTTACCTTCAACAATTTCGTCTACTGAATGCCAAACATGGATCAACATTTATTATACAGAATTAACCGGGAAAGCTTCAACCCAAATCTTGCTTCAAGAACTCGAGACAGTAGCATAGGTAAAGTTTTAAATAAATGTGTTCAAATGGAGCAGAAACTATTGTGGTGTGTGTGGGCAACAGCCAAAGATTTATGGATAGCTATTCTGCTTCTCAACTTCGAATGTCCTGTCCAACTTCTTCATGTAACTAGTCCCTAGTAATACTAGGCTTTAAAGGGCTGCTGCAGCAGGGATAGGCTATTATAGCCCACACTTTATTACCCATTACTACCGAGGTCATTAGCAGCAAGAGTGATTGTACCGGTCTTAACCTATTGATCATTGTAACTACTATCATTTAATCCTGTGTTGAATGTCTGGAAAGCTGCTAAAGGCACACAAGAGAGAGTGCTCTAGCACTGAGAAATATAGTCAAAGCTTGGAAATTACACTTTGATTCATAAAAACTAGCCAGTGGTTTAAATCAATAGTATTTAAAACAGTCATGTAAGTTCTTAACTACAGTCTCTAATATTTATTGGTCCCTGTTTGAGTGTATTCCGTCAAAACTGTACTTATTTTAGAGACTATGCAGTATACCACACATTACATCAGAGTGAAATAAGAAACCTCTGTCTGCTCTTGATGTTAACGTGACAGGACTTCAGTCCCGGGTGGCTGAAATTTGAAGATACCTTTTGCAAATGGCAAATGCTTAGAAAACATCCTAGCTTAAATAAGGCCCACTTTAAAAGAAAGGAAGAATGAGATCTCATCACTTGAAAACACCGCTGAAAGGCACCGATCCACAAGCTATTTACTGATCAAACATTTCTTTACTATGAGTACTCCGGAATAAACTAATGGTGATGTACATTAAACTGAGTGTGTTTTATGCCTTTTATCAATCATAAAATGCACTTTCACAGAAAAAAAGCCAAATGAGTGCAATAGATTTAGCTTACTTCTTCAGGGAGGTGGAAATATAAATAGGAGCTAAGACACAGCCAAGTGGATGTTCGGATTGCAACCATGTACACATTTACTTGGAAGAAAGTGTCAATGGAACTTACTTCAAATAAATCTTGCACCATTAGTGTGCTAGCTTTGCCCTAGAAAACCCGCCCTCAATTCATTGCCCTATTTAATGACTTTGGTTTATTTAGCAAACTACATGCAACCCTGTTGATAGATACTCACAGGGTGTGGTCAGGTACCCAGCTGCATTTAGAGTTGGCAGTGAATGAAAAATACAGCTGCTGCTCAGCTATTATAATTCTACTAGTATAGACCTGCTGACATTCTAATACCATCAACAGCAGATATGCCTTTAAATAAACTAGTTGGATCCAGGTTTATTTTCCCAATCCATGCCTGCATGTTTCTTGAGATCTCCATCCACTATATTTGCCCACTTCACTTCCCCCCTGAAAATATTCCATTGCTGTAGCCTTAAATTTAGCCCGAGTTCATCTTCAGGATAACAATTGTAAGACTACTAGTGATGTGGCACTTTCCCACTGACAAATGTAAATGAACCATCATCTAAAATTTCACCTCTTCAATTAGACTGAATGCTAAATAAAGGGTTTTTTGCCAGTTCAAATTTCCATAAACATAAACACATCAATTACCATTTTATTTTTCTTCAATTTAAAGAACAAATCGTCATCACTCCCTGACTTTAAAAAGAAAATATTTTTCAAGTTTCATGATTTATCCTAAAATACTATAACAATGCACAATTAATCTTGCAAAAATAAAGTAAGAAATGTGTTTCAAATGGCATCTTGATTTCTTGACTGAATGAGAATTGACTTT